GGATTCAATGTTTGAAAAGCAAACAAAGGCAGAGGCTCTCAAGAAAAGATTGGACAGACGTGGAATGGTCATCCTAGATGTCCCACCAACCACACCAGGTACTTATTTCATACGTTTCTTGGTATGCTGTACCCTTTAGCTTGCAATGTGCCAACATACACCCTACCAATTGATGATGTACAAGTATTTCATTCTGTCTAATTCCAGATGATTTTACTCATACTGTAAGTACAGTTTATGGGCTAAAAAAGCATTTACCTCATAACAATTTCTGAAACGTTTGCAATTTTTTACAGTATCACAAGTTCTTGAACAGGAGAAGGCACAAAAGAAAAATGAAAAGCAAAAAGAAAAGGCTAATCCATGCTGTAGATTATGCAGGAATCCTATGAAAGGACACAAATATGTTAAAGACTGTCCCAAAAACAAATAGAGCACAGTATTTGGGACAAAAGTGTAACATAAATTTTAATCAAGTTTTTGCTGTACATAATAAATAAATCTGTGAATTTATCAAAAAGGAAACCAACTATATAAATATTATCATGGTTACACGAGTGGAAGCTTTGTAAAATTTCATTATCAGAAATCATCCAGGTTCCCCCAACAGAGGAAATTCCAGTCATCCAGAGGGGGAGGGTATAACCTCAAGTAATACTAAAGTTGAATTCCTCTGGGGTTGGCGCAGTTGTTTTTCGCAGTAAAGGTGAAGCTGTAGGAAGATGTTCTGTGACTGGTTGATTATGACAATGACAAAAGACGTAATTGGCTTACATAAACAAAAGGAATATTGTTCTTGCTTTGTTCTTTAGAAAATCCATTCTATAGCTTATTCTTTTGTCACTGTCATAATCAACCAATCACAGAACATCTTCCCAGAGCTTCGTGCTGACCCGTTTTCGAAGACCCAACACAATAAATATGGTGTGTAAGCTTTGGTTAGGACCATCACCAAACAGATTCTGTCCAACTTTGCAGACTTATTCTACGGACCCCTTATGTGCAAACTACACAATATAATCAGCATCACAATCGGGCCCAAACTATTTCTGAATACCCGATGGCCAGAAATCAATTTATTGACAGTCCCTCACCAAACAATTTGGAAGCATGTATTATATTTCTCAGTCAGATTCATCAACATAGCCAGTAAATTCTTCTTTTTCACTAACAGGAAATGTTTTTCTAATAGCCATGTAGGCACATGCTGGCAGAGGTATCCTTTTATTTCCGAGGAATCGATAAACCATCCTCGTAAATCCTCTGTACGAGACACTGCGCAGGAATCTCGAAACAGGGCAACAATTTATTAAATGCCAGTACAAAATGATTTTGTCTTTTACTATTTCTGGTAATATTATATATCACAAGTAGTTGAGCAATCAATGCAGTTCTAACCTGTTCTCTCCCTCCAGTTGGCGATATCTGGCTTTACTTTTGGTTTTATAGCCATCTGCAGACATCTTTAAACTCCACTTTTGCAAACAAAAGCAATTAAATCCTGGGTGTTGCGTTATACATTTAGCATCTGTGATATCCGCAGCCTTTAGGTCTTCAAGAACCTCTTCGTTGTGCATGGCTTCGTCACAGCCTTCCAACTCAGAACAGCAATAGCACTCGTAGCTATTATGAAGTAGTTCCACACTACAGTTACCACATTTACACCTGCAACAAAATTACAAAAATAAAACATTTAACTTCGGCCAAAAGCAGCCAGAGCAACAGAGCATTCCTTACCCCAACACTTTATAATCTCGTACTAAAATGACAAATTATAACGAAATTTTACTGTAATAGACTTTGATATAAACTCCTTACCATTCGCTTATATCTACAGAACCATTTAATCTTTTGACGAGTTTTTCTTCAACTTCTAAACGCTCCTGTTCTTCTTTTTGATATGTTTCCAGCCAGGCTTCGTCAGCTAAAGGTTCATCGGCATATGCAATGCCCGAACAACCATTGTCTTCGAGCTCTGGGTCAATCGAGTATTCACGATTTCCATCATTTAATTCTGCATCCTCTATGACATATTCGGGAATGAAGTTTACGTCCGAGTCATCAGATTGATAACTTGTATCAGAAATATCCGATTCACTGCTGGACATGATCGCTGTATAATACTTATTTGCAATTGAAATGTTTTTGGCAAAATACAGTCCTCCTCGTGATCGAATATAAAACAACACATCGAACAACAAAGCAAAACACCGACTACCTTGCGTGACGTCAGAAAAGCGTACTAGACCCAGACTCCTAACTCCGCGTCAATGGGCCACGAGATGCCATATTTAACACGCCATAAAAACCACCCAAATGATTCAAAATTAAAATTTTTTTCACTAAACCACTATAAATTGGTAGTAGATCCGATAAGACGAAAAAAATAAATTGTGCAAGAGGCACTTTAAATACAACTAACGAAATATTCCTTTATAATATTTATACTTTTATATTAAAGTCTTATAGTAAGCAGTATTAAATACACTCCTGAGGCAAGATGGGCTTCGTGGGTGACCTGATCCAACAAACAACCGCAAAAAATGTCGCAAAACTGTCGTGTCCGCGCGTATTTACCTGGGGCGAGTACGAAACTGGAGACATTCATTAATCTACCTGAGTCATGAATGTATAAAAAAATATTCATGATTCAACAGACCATGCACTATTTGTTGCACTGTTGTCCCAGTCCAGTGGCTGTGAGTGTTTTTGCATGGTTGTGTTGTCTCATGTAGATCTTGTGCACAATGTTTTGCCCGAGCCCAGGAAGGGCAAGTAAACAAGACATTTGACATTTTCAATGTTTTTTGATTGAAAATGCCAAATGCCCATGTATTTGCTCACCTTTCACTGGGGTCAGGTGAAACATTGTTTGGTGCATAAGGGTGGGCTGTGATTGGATCAAAATAAAAATGAAACGTTTTTCATGAACGAAACATGAATGGGATATGTTAATATTCATACATAGAAACAAAGTCATTGGGGCCAAGTGTAGCAAACAAACAGTGATGTCTATATATTAGTTCATGTTCTACTGTATATTATAAAATAGTTTATTAGTCAGAGTCAGTATCTTCTTCAAAGCCTGTAAATATATCTGAAGTTTCCCTGAATTTTGCTCGAATTGATTGGTAAACACATGCTGGTAATGGTATTCTAAGCCTACCAAGAGCTCCATATACAAGTTGAGAAAACTCTGTATGATATGGACCGCAAAAACCTGAAAAAGATTACAAAGTATGTAAGTGTGCATACAATAAAGTGAGGACAAACACATCAAGCATACTTATTCACAAGTGATGAAAATTTTACCAAATTAATTTCCCCTCACCCTGGTTTGATAAGTGTCTGTGGTGACAATATAAACATGGAGAGGTTGATCAATATATTAGAGTATTATTGTTGATCACTATAATAGAATATTGGATCAATGTACAGTATAAGGTTGATTAGTATTATGTAAATGTTCGATCAACAATAAAAGTGCAATCATGGCTTGACAAGGCAACCAGGTTGACTAAATTAGCTTAAAACCCATTAATTTCCTATTACATGGTTGGGATTTGCAGATTTCGCAGGCTAGAGAGTTTCAGTATTTAATTGCTGTTAAAAATAGGGTACAGTCCGGTCTGAGCATGTGCACATAGGAGTCTCCTGCCATGATATAAACACTTTAATTAGGTTTTTATTTATTTTATGTTCTTGCAAGGCCTGATTGTTGTCTTGATCATTTATTATACTGTTAGGGACGGACCATTAGAAAAGTGATGGGGGGGGGGGCAAAACCAAAAAAAAAATTTATTCCCAGAAAAAAATTAAGAAAAAAAAAATCTTTCCAGGCATAGTGCAAAAAAAAAAATTCCTTGCTTAGAAGATAGGCCAAGTGGTGTACTGGAGGGAGGGCTCAGCCCCCTTGTTGAAATTTCATGTCAAATCTTCCCCAAAGTCCAGGAAATGGCATTTCAGAGACTCTAAATTTAAAAATTTCCTCGGGCCTTCAGCCCTCGCTTCGGCTTGTTTTTAATAAGAATAATGTCAAATGTTTGTCTCAGAATTACTAGAATAAACCCCAACAAAATTTAGAATTTCCAAAATATCTTATTGTACCTCCCCTCCCCTCCCGCCAATTCAGGGCACTTTGGAGAGCCCCCCTTGTTAACATTCCAGGACTACACCACTAATAGGCCTATAAATTTCACTTAAAGGGGCCCTACAGTCATTTTTTAGTCGAAAGCCAGCTTAAGTAGGCATGGGCGTACCGGAAGGAAAAAATTAGGGGGGCGGACAGAAATTTGCCCGACTTTTCGTGATTGTGCCCGACTAGTACCTAAAAATTATTTTCCGGAAAAATTATTTCGGCGACCTCCCTCCCCACCCCCCCCTGTCGCCAAAAAAATTTCGGTCAGTGTACCATTTTAGGGGTCAAAAAATTTTTCCGGACATACCAAAATTTTTCGGAACATCACACAACTTTTCCAAACAACACAAAATTGACTGAATTTTCGACTAAATTGACAGAATTTGTCCCATTTATTTTTATTACAAACCAAAATTGCCCGACTGTTTATCGAATATTGCCCGACTGTCCAAAAAACTGGGGGGCTACCGCCTCCCGCCCGGTACGCCTATGCAAGTAGGGGACTCCACGGAGATTCGTTTGCCTGTATCTTACATGCAGTATCCATGAGTATGAATATTTTTGCACACCAGAAAACGCATGCATAGTGTGGTGCGCATGTCAAATAGCGACAATAACAAAAAAAAGTAAACAATACTTACTTGACTAAAAAATTACTGTAGGGCCCCTTTAAAAAAAAATATTTCCAACCGTCAAGTGAGAAAAAAAATAAATTTCTTCTATAGGTGTACAAAAAAAAAAAACATTGCCTCCTAGAAGGAAATCCCCATCACTTTTCTAATGGTCCGTCCCTTAGAAGCATTAAAATATAAATGGTTGTTGAATAAAGTTCAATATTTTGAATACTGAAATGTAAACAAAGGCTTTGTTTACATACGGACCTTTAACATCTCTGTTTACACAAGATACTATTCAAACACAATTTTTACCAAAACTTCACTTAAAAAATTTACTAAATTTTCACCAAAATTGATGAAATTTTACCAAAAGTAAAATATTTTATGAGGGGGGGGGGCTATTTGTCATGATAAAGCAGAAAACAAGATGAGATACAGTAATTTGATGATAACACAATGATAAGCAAACTGTGAACATCAATTCAAATGCAGTAGTCCAGCAAGACTACTTGAAAGACAAGTTGATGGGCGGCGTACAGCTATCAAAGCACACCACTACCAGGTCATATGCATGCATTCCGGCTGCATATGACCAAAATGCATATCAAAACATATGCATATCAAAACTTTGCAGTTACATTCTTTTTGTACCCTGCAGCATATGGTATCAGATTGTGTGCATATGCTTGGTTGTAGTGGGTTATTTTCTGGCATTTTCTATTTCGTATACTGTATATAGTCTAGCTGTGTCTCTTTCAACTGCAACAAAATTAAGTCTAATACTTACGACTCCTCTGAACCACTTTGGCGATATCTTCGACGACATATTTTTGTCCTATATTTACTTGCGGACATCCTGAGTGACCATTTCTCCAAACAGTTGACTCTAAACCCCGGATGGTGTGTTACACAAGACGGTGGCGTTCCTGTATCTTGCAAGACGTCTTCGGATTGTAAATTATCAACGCATCTAGGGATTTCTTGGCAACACTGACACTCGTATACATTTTAAAGTAATGCCGTATCACAATTACCACATTTGCACCTAAGATTTATATAAAGAGATATTCTTAACAAGCTACATTAAAATTAAACAAAAGCAGGAATTGATTGCCACATTCTATTTCTAGTTTTGTGTGAGAATGGTTCTGCTTACCATTGGCTTACAGCAATTGTGCCATCTAAACGCTGTTTAAGGGCCTCAACATGAAGTTTTTCGCTCTCCTTTTCTCTCTCGTATTCTTCGATCCATTCTATATCAGCAATGGGTTCATCGCTATAGGGAAAAACTGCAGCGGCCGCGGCCACAGTATTGTCTTCCCATGATTTGCCGCTTGCCTCATTCGACGCCGAAGCAGAGCCTACATCAAATTCTTCCACTTCAAGTTCGTAGTCATCTATATCACCACGCGATTCACACTCTGACTCAACAGATGAAGAAGATTCGTCCAAGTATAACTCAGAAGTAGACATATCGTTCTAACTTACTAAATAAAACAATTCCTCGAATTTTCCGGTAGCTTTTGCTCGACTGTTTTCATATAAAACAATACAGAACAACAAGAGCTCATATTACTTCCGTTCCCAAATTGACGTCACACACCTCAATTTGTACCCAGCCTCTTTTCTCCCGGCCATGATTAAAAAAACCCTATTTTTGGCATGTTTGATGCTAAATATGTCTGGAAGTTTTTATCCGATCAAATAATGATTTACATCATTCGAATCGTCTCGCCACGGCTGATTTTTCAGTGAAAAAAGGAAAATTCTTTCATATGCACTTTAATAATTATTTCTTTGCTTTTTTTGGGCATCTTGTTTACAACATGAAATTTAGAACAGTAACTAAGTGTTCAAGTTCAACAAAGTGTGCAAGCCAAAACACAGTGTTTGTACATCTTTAAAGTTTTTTGATTGCTTCAAATATATTTAAAAGGACACATAGTGCTTAAATTTATTTATTTTAATATAAACCAAGGATGGGAAGGTGAGAAAATGAGAATTTTCTGAGGTATTTTAACACAGACAATGACAGCCAACATTTTGAAAGGCACTCTGCGGTGGTGACAAAACTAAAAGCTATTCACTTCTGTACTCAAAGCACTGAAAAGCATCATAAAGAGAAAAACACTTTAAACACACGTCAGTTAAGACATTTAGCTCGATATTCTCATGCTTCTATTGGGAAAGCAACAGTTTAAAAGCCAAAATTATTTTGCGTGGCAATGTAGGCTGCTATAAAATGTCAGCTAGGCGGTTTCTTTTGAAGTCTGGCTCTGAAAAACAATCTTTTTTTTTAGTTTGAAATAAGCCTTCATAAGGACTATTGTGTAGAAATGTTATCTCTATGCTCACATGAAAAAGATAACCTAATATTCAGGTATTCCACATAGCTATAAAAGGGTGAAATAATAACTTTCATCTTTGGTTGTTTGTCAGACGTGAGAAACCACATTAGTGCCATTTTGTCGCGCATGCTATTTTATAAAATAAACACCTCAAAGCCATAAACTTTTAGTTCAGAAAATTACAAAGTTTCCCATAGACATTATTAAAAGTGTTCTAGTGAAGCGATTTCATGATAAATAAGTGAGCAATGGGCGCAAATGAACTGCTAAGGTTGGTTTTGTTAGGACTTCAATTTCATAGCTTCCAGCAAAGGAAGCCATTTCAGAGAGTAGCAACATTTTGCAAACAACCGTCGCGACCTATTTTGATAACTTTTCCTTCTGATTCAACGTGTAGTTACTAGAAAATGATGTTGCATCAAACATTATTATCTGCTTTATCGATTTAAAGTTTTATAGGGGATATAAAAAACAGTAAAAATGCATTTTGAAAGCTTTACAACTCAAGTGCGGATTTTTTGAATATTTGCACGCGGCAAGCAAGCACGTTTATTCAATACACTTATTTTACACCACAATATGTCTGAAACGAGTTGTCATTTTAACACTAAACAGTGATTCTGGAATATTATACTTATTTAGTGTAATTTAATACTCGAAGTATTCTTGCCAAAAAGGTCGAAAAGGTCACACACGCACACAGTAAGTGTCGTTTGAAATATACTTTAGCTAAAATAACAACTTGAACAAGAAGACCAACAATGGGGTCACCAAAACAGTCGAAATTGCACCCAAATTTGCATAAACAGTTCGTCTAAAAAGATAACTTTAAACTAGATTAACCAACATTAATGCGGTTGAATTTTGTGAGTGTTTGATCGCATATTTCTACTCAAAAATACCCTTTAAAAAATCGTATCTGCTCACTTGAGTTCCGTGTTCATCTTCCTTGTGATTTCCGACTTCTATTTTTAATAAAGTTTGGAGAAATCCTCATCTTTTTGGCTGAAAATCTCGCGCATGGTTCACAGAAGAACTTGGCCCCAAAATGGTCAATACATTCGCTTTCCTTACATGCCTAATTTTCGTTGTAGATGATTCAAAAACCTCTTCTTTTTTCTCTTTTAAAACTTGCTGTGAAATCCGTCTTTGCAACAATGTCGCCATTATTCATTATTTTTGAAAAACTAAGATTTTAAACTTGAAAAACTTTGCGAGTTTTTGGCCGATTTTCTTGCATGATACATTGTTGAAAAGCTCGAATTTCGCGTTCTATTTTCGTATCCGTTGCTAGGCAACCCGATAAACACGTGCTCAAATATCATGCCCGCAAGTTGAGGTGTCATTTCAGGGTGTATGCGGGCGCATTGCCAGTTACCCACTTGCCAATCTCAGGGTGTATCCGGGTGCATTGCCAGTTAGGGACACACACATTATTCCGGAATTTCTTTTAGAATAATAGGGGACTTTTTTGCAACCAGGAATAATAGTTAAAACATTGGAATAATGAGAATAATCGGCCAATTCTTGTGAATGACGTCATTGCAATAAAAAGTGGGTCAGTGGTGTACCTTTTCTACGCTGTCAGCGGTGTGTCTGACTGTGTGCACTCTGCAGTACTTTGTGTAAAATTATATTTTTGGTCTCATGGCGGCCATTTGTTTTGCACATGGCGTCTTGATGTTGCAACCTTGATGAACCTTGATGTAATTGAATATTGAATTATTGATAAATGATAATGAGTGATGACAAAGTCGAAGTTCAAGTTAGTGTTATTTCTTCATTATCAGATTACGAAGAATCCGAAAATTCTGAATCAGAATCACCCCCAACTGAAGTCAGAGAAAGTTCTGAATCCAGCTCTAAGCCAGAGAATAAGACACCGAGTTGGTTCAACAAATTAAAAGCTCCAAGGCCTTTGGATATGGCCAGAAAAAGTAAGATCCATGCTAACCCTCCACCGGTAGGAAAGAAGCGATCGCAAACTACCAGTACCGGCAAACGCAACTATGATCCGAAAAAAGTGTCACCATCTGAAAGAGTCCGCGAATTTCCCGGGGAACATTTGACTGTTTCTAGTGGCAAACTTTTTTGCAAAGCTTGCCAAGAGTCACTTGTTTTAAAAAAGAGTGTACTAGTAAGTCATGTGAAGAGTACAAAGCACGAATGTAGCAAACAAAAGCTTCTACAAAACCAATCAAGCGAACGGGATATAGCTGATGCCCTTGCGAAACACGATGGACAAACTCATCGTAAGGGTGAAACTTTGGACGAAGAAAGCAAGGTATATAGAGTTAAAGTGTTAATGGCTTTTATGAAAGCTGGAATTCCGTTGGAAAAGTTGGAGTGTCAAGAACTGAGAGATCTTTTGCAAGAGAATGGTTACCGACTAACAGACGCCAGGCACATGAGAGACTTAGTTCCTTTTATTCACCAACAAGAACAGGACAATTTGAAAACAGAGTTGAAAGGGAGAGACTTGTCAATTACATTCAATGGTACTTCACGACTTGGTGAAGTTCTTGCAGTAGTTGTACGGTTTGTTTATAACTGGACCATTCAAGAACGGCTTGTTCGTCTGAAGTTCCTTACAAAAAACATGAATGGTGAGGAACTTGCCAGAGAACTTATCACTGTTTTGTCTATCAAACTAAGTTTGGAATCTCACCAGTTGTTAGCAGTGATGCGAGACAGAGCTAGTGTGAATGGTGCTGCATTAAACATTGTCAAAATTATGTATCCTAACCTGCTTGATGTTGGTTGCCTTAGTCACATGCTTAACCTTGTTGGAGAAAGATTCAAAACTCCTACTTTGAGCCTTTTCATTGCTCACTGGATTGCTTTGTTTAGTCACAGTTATAAAGTCAAAGCATTATGGAAAGAAGCAACAGGACGAGCTATGGCATCATATTCTAAAACTTGTTGGTGGAGTAGATGGGAGCTAATGAATCAGGTAAAGGTCCAGTTTGCTTTTATTGAGCCTTTCCTTCAAAATAATGAAGATATTGGCCCAGCTACACGAGCAAAACTGCTGGAAATCCTAAGCCACCCCCCATCAATGAAGGTAGAGTTAGCTGCTGTGATTGACTTAGGTGAACATTTTGTGAAAGGAACTAACAGCTTAGAAGGAGATGGGTACCTTGTGCTAAGTTGTTATGAGGAAATTCTGAAAATCCGAAATGCTATTCGCATTGAACATTATCCAAATCTACAAGCCATTGTAAGACAGGCGTTTCCTGACAACAATGACCTACAAAAACAATGGGTTGCATACTCTATTGGGTGTCTACAAGCTGGGCTGGATTATTTTCAGAATAAACTTGGAAATGATTCTCAGCTTCCAGTGGCAGCCTTTAAGGCAGCCAGACTGTTCTCACCTTTTAAAGTCAATGAAATCCAACCTACTGCAAAAGATGTTGATGACCTTATGGCTTTTCCTTTTCTGGTTGATGAAATTGATCATTTGAAAGCTGAATTACCTGCCTACCTGGCACTTGCAGCTGATGTCAATGCTGATGTCAATATTTTGGAGTGGTGGAAAAATCATAGCAGTCCTGGAAGTGATTCTTGTCTTCCACTTTGGTCATCTGCCGTACAGAAGGTGCTATTAGTGCAACCTTCATCTGCCACAGCTGAGCGTGTATTTTCAATGTTGAATCAGTCATTTGGTGAACAGCAGCAAAACGCATTAGAAGACTTAGTGGAAACTACCATTATGTTACAGTGTAACAAGCGTTAATAAAAAGTTATTTTATTGATTTTTGTATGACTTGACATCGAACAATTTGGGGAATATAATTTTGAGAATAATAGGTAGAAATTTTAAGAATAATTGGGAAATTTTGGGGAATAAAGGAATAGAATAATGGGTAAATTTTTAGGAATGTGCATGTCCCTATTGCCAGTTAATGAGTTAAGTTCTTGATAAGACCTTGTTAAATCACCCCGATATGCCGACAGCGCATTCTTAAGTTTATTAAGTCTTTCGTTAAGAACAGAGTCTTGATTCAACAGTGTACTCACTTGGCATTCACTACGGTCTCAAAGTTCCATGACTTAAAGCTCGTATATTCAGACCGTTTACTACAAACTGAATTGATACTAATACTGGTAAACAACTGAGGACGATAAAGAACTAATGTAGCAACGGTCTCACTTATATTTTGCCGGATAAAATTACTTGCCACGCCAGTGCTTGTCCGTTCTTGAACTGAATCAATCTTTAGACTTTAATCTTTATTCTAGCAAATAGCGGTTCTATATAAATTAATTTATAAATTGCTAGCTATACTAAATTACAAACGAATAAAATAAAATAAATACAAATACAAACAAGTTATACCTTTATCGAAAGCTCCTTCCAAAGTCTCTAACTGTTCCTTACTCGAGCACAAGCAAACGATAACTAAATTTATTACTAACTTAAGCATGCAAACTACCTTAAATACTAGCTATCTTATGCTAATTAATTAATTTATTTTACCTAATCTATTTCAATTTCGTCTTTACATTATTGTTGTTTTCAAGCGTTTATTAGCAAGTGGGAACGACCAACATGGCCGCCATCCAAGCCTGAAAATAAGCGGCCGGTCACGGACATTGTCCGGTACGAAAAGGGGTACTGTCCGACACAACTGCTTTTTTGCCGGACATTTTGTCCGGCAGCATATCAATACTAATAGAATTAAAATTTTTGCTACTGTATTAAAAAAGTACCTTATCGAACCCAATATCTTCGCTTGTATCTCTTTTATATGTATTTATTTTAATTCTCCCGTTTAAAAATGTATTTGAATAGTTTGAAGCCGAATGTATGGCACTAATTTTTCGCTTATTTTGACAATAATAACTGCCTGCTATTTTGTGCGCCCGCATTACTTGCGTACGTTATCTGATGTACATCGTGTAGATTTGAATTAAATGTATAACAACCACATGGAATTTTTTAAAGAAAAATGGCGTCTCGAATCACTAACTTTTTTGCGAGAAAAAATGCAAATTCTACAACATCTAATACCGCCATACCTGTACTTCCGGATGTAAATGACCGGGAAATGCCAAATCCGGATTCAAGCATGAAGAAACATGTCTTGAAACTAGCGACAGTTAAGAGGTGGATTAACGAAGATCTAGCCAAAGATAATGGTAGTATTTGGTTGCATTACGAAGTTAACAAGCAGGAACATGTTGAAAATCTATACTGCAAAATTTGTCAAAAGTATAAGGAGCAAATATGTACCATGAAAGATTTCTCATATGCCTGGATAAATGGGTCAAAAAACTTGAAGTTATCGAATGGAAAAGATCATGCAAATTCGAAGTGTCACATTCGGGCATTCCGATTACATGCAAACGAGGTTAGCGCTTGCACTGGGAGAATCATTACAGTTGCCAGAAAAACTAATTCCCGGACTGAAACAACCAACTGTTATCGAAGGATTTGTTCAAATGTCAGATATAATGAAAGAACAGATAAAAAAGAAATTTGAGCTTGCCTATTTCGTGGCGAAAAAGGAACTTCCTTTTACTATGTATGAAGATCTAGTTACCTTAGAGAAACACCATGGTGTTGACATTGGCAATGCATATGTAAATCGCATTGAATGTGCTGATTTTATTGATTACCATGGAGAATACCTGTCAAAAACACTGACAAACGATCTGAAAGAAGCAAAGTTTTACAGTGTTCTAACAGATGGAACAACAGACTGCAGTGTTACAGAGAAGGAGCTTGTCTATGTACTGTATTTTAATCCAAAACAAACTGGGGAGAACATTGGGGTTAAGCTGGCATTTCTTTGTTTGAAAGATGTCAAGAAAGCTGATGCACCTGGCATTAAGTCTGTAATTGAATCAAGCTTTGCTTCTTTGGGTATCACTAATAATGAACTTTATTCCAAACTTGTTGGGTTTGGTGCAGATGGAGCTTCGGTGAACAGTGGTGACAAAAATGGTGTAAAAGCCTTGCTACAGGAAAAATCGCCATGGTTAATCTTCCAGTGGTGTGTGGCTCACAGATTAGAGCTGGCCTTGAAGGATGCACTCCAGCCAACCTTTTTCAAGCAAGTTGATCAGATGCTCACAAGGCTGCATTCATTCTATAGCAAGTCTCCTAAGAAGCTACATGAGCTTAAATCACTTCATGAACTATTGAAAAATACATTTGACTTTGTTGAAGGTTCATTAAAGCCAAAACGAGCAAGTGGAACACGCTGGATTTCATTCAAGCTGGCAGCCTTAAGATTAGTCCTTTCGCATTTGGAAAATCTGGCTGAACAAGAAGGAAATGCTGAAATTGTTGGGTACTTGAGAAGGTGGAAAACCAGTCAAATGCTGCTGCATATAGCATTCTTTATTGATGTGTTAACTCCTGCTGCAGAGTTATCAAAGATTTACCAGGAAGGAGATATAGATATTGTGAGTGCTACCAGTGCTTTAAACAGAACCAAGCACAAACTTGAACTCTACAGCAACCTGAGATTACAAGATCTTCCTGCCACAAAGTATTTGCTGAGCAAAGTAGACAAACAAGGTGGTACTCACACATACCAAGGCATTGAATTCAGTTCTATTCAATTTGAAAGAGAGTTGGAATTGCTAAAAGCAAAGAAAAACATAATTACTGAAGCTGTGTGTGCTTGTATTTCTACTCGACTGGATGATTCTGGGAGTCCTACCTTACAGGACATTGCTGTTGTGCTAAATATTGAATCATGGATGGCAAGAGCTTCCCTGCCTCAGGAAGATGAATCAGATGATGGAAACGACTCAAACAAAGAAAATTCTTCTCACAAGTTTAATGAAGGGTCATTTGATGTCGAAATCATCAGATTGTTTGAGCATTTTCAACCTGTCTTGGGTAATGCTGATGTCAAGTGCCCATGTACAGAAGTAGTTGTTGCTGAGTGGCATGACTTGTTAACCTATATCATCAATTACCTACAGCCAAACAAGCACAACTACAAGAAAACGTGGAAGTTTGTTTTTCTGTCATCCTATGCAAAATCAAAATGGAAGAACATCCTTACCTTACCTTAGTTGAATTGCTATTTTCTATCCCTGTGTCAAATGCAAAACTAGAACGCATGTTTTCAAATATGCAGAGAGCAAAAGTGGATTCAAGATGCTCTTTAGGTGAGCAAAGGCTGACTCACCTGCTAAGAATCAAAGAAGAAGGGCCAGAACTTGGTACCTTTGATGTTACCCCAGTAGTTGAACTATGGCTTAACAGCAAGGTTAGGAGACCTAACCAGAACAAAAGGAAGAAGTACAAGCAAAGAAAACAGAAATCAAAGAAATATTATGATAATGATAATTACACCAATCTCTTTTCTTTAATTGACAATACTGATAGTAGTAGCACAGAAGAATCAGATGATGTGATTGATGTCTCTGTTGAAGACATGGACTGAGATTCTTTGAGCACTATAGTTACTAGTATTTGGAGACTTGTGATATATGTGGATAATGGATTATGGGTATTCAATATCACAATATGTGCCATGGCCCATTACAAGGCCCATTACATTATCAGGGACACATAACATATTGACATTATATATACATTCATCAAGTATGAGGTATTATACATTTATGTTCTAATTTTTGTTTCTTTCATTGGCATATTCACAGTAAAATAATAAAATATACTTTAAACAAATTAAGGGTCATCATGTGATAATATATCAAAATTACAGTGATTGTATATTAATAATTTAATATATTATAGTATATCATTGTAATTTTTTTATGTCAGGGACAAAATGTCCAGTGTCAGGCACCAACCAGTTAGTGCCTGACAAAATGTCAGGCACTCTTGGATATTTATTTTCAGGCTTGCCACCATCTGTTCAAATGGGGGTAACCACTGGAATATTCTTGGCTTCAATTCTACTAAAAGAGATGCGCTATCTAGTGTATATAAGATATCTATGATAGGCACCGCCATCCCTATTTATATGCCATGCTTCTAGGCATTGTCTCTAGCTATTCGGATCCCCTGATTCAATGTCAACAAGCACGCTTTCATTGTCCACTGAGAAGGGGAAACATTTCACAACAGCAGGGGAAAGATTTCACAATAGCATTGCAAAAATAGCTGTTGAACAGCGGGAGGATATTTTACAAGTGCTGGGAGATATGGCAATGCACAGCGATCCTTTTGTGCAAATGTTATATTACTGGCACAGATGTTACTTTCTCAACACTTGAGGCAAGTACGGCATTCGAATCAGGGCCAAAGTTGGCAGTCACTTTTGGGGCCATTTGAATGCCTGATTGGATTTATATCTTATTGAAAGCATGGCAAACCTTGCTAAATTTAACTCAACTTTGACATATTGGGGTGAGTTTATTAATTTCTTTTTAGAACCACTGAGTATTTTAATAAAATACAAAACAAGTGAAACTCCAAAAATCGATAACATTTTTATTTATCTACGTTTCGACGGAGTCATCATCAGGATAAACTAGCTAGGTTATATATCAAAAGCGGTATTTATATGAAGAAATATGATACAATAGTTAGGTTGATTATTAACAAATTAATGAAATACGATTAGTTCTTTAGAAGCTTTAAGTCCATGATTAAGTTCAGGTTTATATCTTTGAATAGCGAGGGATTCTTGATATAGTAAAAGGGACCAATGGTTAGATTTATCAATTATTTTGGTGTTGTTGAAAACATGTTCAGCCATTATACTGGTTTGATCAGACTTTGCGTCATCGTTGGGATAAAGTTCTAAAAGGGCTTTAATATGTTGAAACTGTTCGCAAGTAGAGAGGCGTTAATGGATTACAGATTCTGTGTGATATGAATGTTCCTTAGTTCTGGTGTATAAGCAGCGATCAGTTTTGCCGATGTACCTACTATTACATCCAGGGCAAGTAAATTCATAAACTACAGAGCTTTGATAAGTTTTCGGGGTTTTATCTTTGCATGACACAAATACGTTGCTGTTAATAGTTTTCCAGTTAATGAATCGGCATTTTAATATGAGGAGAGGGGTTATTTTGCGTATCAACGAAAAATAACCAACGTATCAACGTATGATAAAAAAAAACCCAACGTATCAACGGCATTTTAATATGAGGAGAGGGGTTATTTTGCGTATCATGCAAAGATAAAACTCCGAAAACTTATCAAAGCTCTGTAGTTTATGAATTTACTTGCCCTGGATGTAATAGTAGGTACATCGGCAAAACTGATCGCTGCTTATACACCAGAACGAAGGAACATTCATATCACACAGAATCTGTAATCCATCAACACCTCTCTACTTGCGAACAGTTTCAACATATTAAAGCCCTTTTAGAACTTTATCCCGACGATGATGCAAAGTCTGATCAAACCAGTATAATGGCTGAACATGTTTTCAACAACACACTAAAATAATTTATAAATCTAACCATTGGTCCTTTTTACTATATCAAGAATCCCTTGCTATTCAAAGATATAAACCTGAACTTAATCATGGACTTAAAGCTTCTAAAGAACTAATCATATTTCATTAATTCGTTAATATCAACATAACTATTGTATCATATTTCTTCATATAAATATCGCTTTTTATATATAACCTAGCTAGTTTATCCTGATGATGACTGAAATATAGTCGAAACGTAGATAAATAAAAATGTTATCGATTTTTGGAGTTTCACTTGTTTTGTATTTTATTAATAACAATTTTACTATATGTCATTTTCTTTCTTGTTTCTAATTGTATGTATATGGAAAATAAATTGTCTGTCACCTCATATCACTGAGCATTGTACAAAGAATGTTTATTGTACATTTGGTGGCATGTATGGCAAAGAGCCTGCCCGCTTGGAACATTTGTGTCTCCTGCGGCAGTGTCGATAATTTATCAATGTCATAGCAACCTATGGACCAAATGCTTCCAGGCACTCATCGATGTTTCATCCCTTTATTATTTTCTTCACTGTGTATTCAATGCACGTATTAGCCCACACACAGCCCACAAATCACAGGTTTCAACACTTAGTGATATATTTATACATATTAATTCTAATACATAACTTCAATAAGACCCGGGATGGGCTCCCTGTGGAACTACCAGGTGTCCCAAAAAACTTGCAAAAAGCTATTGCACTCAAATAAATTTTATTGTATTCAGAAAGGGCTAACTTAGATTTTGATATACAGCCCAAGAAATGTCATTTAATATTACATGAGATGCAAATGTTTGAATTTGGTTCACGCTTTAAATGTTTTTGCCACCTGAACATAAAATCCATATCTCTTGGCAACCGTTGAATGTTCTGTTTATTATATGGATGTACTCAGAGTGACAAAAATACACACAAAGACAACATGTAAATAAGCACGTGAAAGACCAGTGTAAATGTGATATTTTTTAAAATTATACTGCAAACATAAAACTAGAATAAATTTTACTTATCTCAAGATGTCTTTTAAATGTTTTCGTTTTATTTCCAACGTTAATTTCGTTTTTTAAATACAAACCAAAGACCATTTGTATTTTCAAAACAACAACAATGAAAATGGTGGGAAATTTTCGAATTTCGTATGTCATTAGCAGGGGTGAAATACAGAAAATACGCGCACTGGTCCTGGATGTAGTGACGTATATGAGTTCTATGAGTATTTTAGTTTCCAGTAAAACACCATTGTCCATATAATAAATGACATTTTTTGGGCTGTATATCAAAATCTAAGTTAGCCTTTCCTGAATAACAATAACATTTAGTTGAGTGTAATAGTTTTGACCTGACATGAAATCAAACACCGCAGGTTTTTTGGGACACCCGGTAGGTGGTTAATTAATAGGTGAAAAGATAAATGAATATGACATACAGGTATACGTCATGTGTATAATATGTGTATGGTACTGGGACATGTTGCTCATGTAATATAATAATATTGCGTAAAGTAAACTATTGTGCAAATGCATTAAACGACACTCAATAAGTGCAGGATTTTTCCAGGTAACAGATTAATGGAAAATAGCTTTAATCTTATTATATAGCTGGTGATGTGTTGCAGATGCAGTTTTTCGAGCTGTCAATACTCACAATAGCACCATAGTTCTAAATAAATACTGTGTGCCATGTATGTATATACGCTTGAATTAAGGAAAGATAAAATAAAGCCATGTGGAAGCCATGGTACATCCAGTTTATAGTGTAACAAAATATACATCTGCACAAAGAAAACATTTAACATGCTACAGTATAACCTCTCTAGTTTGGATTTCTTTGAGGTCAGTCCATTTAATTAAGTATATCATGAACATCTCTTTTAACTAGGACAAACCGTCCTTATGGCATGAATTCATACAGAAACGAATAAACTATCTACTTTTGGAGCTGAGCACTAATAGTTTTGGATGATTATGTAGTTCAAACATTGCTTAAATGAAATATTTGGGCCTTCCTGGGTCTACCTGTGATAGGTTTTGGTCTGGAAGCTATTGAAAATAAAGAGATCTGCATGCAGTGGTGAGTGGTTCAACTCCTGGTAAATCAATTGTCAAAACCAACAGAAGTGAGCAAGGATCTTCATCTAGAAAGCTGCTATTCGATGTCCACCCCAAGAAGGTATGTAAATAAATTACTATGTTTCTATATTTGTATGTATAACAGTATTATTCATTGTGCAACATGCAGAAAATATATTTTAAGGTTACTTCACACGATGAACATGCGTTTTAGTCTATTGAACATTGCTCAACGACTTTTAGGTGTAACTTTACCAAATTTTCAGTGAAGAAAGCCAGGAAAATGCTGATTTCAACAATTTTTATTTGATGGGTGTTCTGTTTAAACATTTTCAGTATTGGCTGACTGAGTAAATATGTAGGTACGTTCATAAAAAAATCAAAATATGTTTATAGTTTACCTCAACGGTTGTCTAGATATCGCAATTCAAATCTTCATAGGCATGGTAAAAAAAACGTGTGCGGAACATTTCTCTTCTTTAGTGGTTTTTCTGATATGCCCTGATTCTTGGATTTGTCACTGATAATTCACGAAGTTGTCAAAGAAAACGTCATATCAGAAAAACCATTGAAGAAGAGAAATTTTCCGCACACGTTTTTTTTTACCACACCTATGAAGATTCAAATCGATTACATGTAGACAAACGTTGAGGTAAACTATAAATATATTTTATTTTTTTATGGGATACTTATGTATTTCTTTAGTCAGCCAATACTGGACATGTTTAAACAGAATACCCATCAAATGAAGATTTTCGAAATCAGCATTTTATTGGCTTTCTTCACTAAAAATTTGGTAAAGATACACCTAAAATTTGTTGTGCCATGTTCAATAGACTAAAACGCACGTTCATCATGTGAAGTAACCTTAAATAAAAGATTTTAACTCCTAAATTTATATTTCTGTTTAAAATTTACAAATTCTTTAGAAAAAGGCCCATAATTTACATTATTCTTTGCCAGCTTGTCCAACATATAATGTATGAATGATTTGTGACTTTGTACTCAACAACTGGGCTCTGTGAGTCAACATAGGTCAGAGCACTGTATCAGGAGGTCTCCATCCCAAGGTTGACGGAAATCTGTGACAGGGTGAAATTCCACAATGCAGACATGAAAAATGGAGTGCTGCACTGGAATTGCAGAGTTGCAGGTTTTGACCTGAAAGTTACATTTTGCTACTGCAATTACAGTATATTGTTTTTCGGTTTCAAGGTTGGGTGTTACCTTGTAGTGGAAGTAACAATAAAACAACATTAAGTTATTATGAGTGAAATGCCAAAAATAATGATTCTCTTGATTTTTTGTGTTGGTGTAATGTACTCAGGTGAATATGATGCTTGTGATGTTACTCTGAGTGTATATCCACATCGGGAAAGCTTGAAAAATATGCCTGACCACGGTGGGAATCGAACCTACAACCTTTGGAATACTAGCCCAATGCTGTGCCAACTGAGCTACGTGGTCTGGTCGGTTCGAGTATGTGATATTTCGGAACAGAATCTAGTTCCTTCGATATCAATGTAATATAACAATCATGATTTTTTTTGTGTTGGTGTAATGTACTCAGGTGAATATGATGCTTGTGATGTTACTCTTCAGAGTGTATATCCACACCGGGAAAGCTTGAAAAATATGCCTGACCACGGTGGGAATAGAACCTACGACCTTTGGAATACTAGCCCAATGCTGTGCCAACTGAGCTGCGTGGTCTGGTCGGTTCGAGTATGTGATATTTCGGAACAGAATCTAGTTCCTTCGATATCAATGTAATATAACAATCATGATTTTTTTTGTGTTGGTGTAATGTACTCAGGTGAATATGATGCTTGTGATGTTACTCTTCAGAGTGTATATCCACACCGGGAAAGCTTGAAAAATATGCCTGACCACGGTGGGAATAGAACCTACGACCTTTGGAATACTAGCCCAATGCTGTGCCAACTGAGCTGCGTGGTCTGGTCGGTTCGAGTATGTGATATTTCGGAACAGAATCTAGTTCCTTCGATATCAATGTAATATAACAATCATGATTTTTTTTGTGTTGGTGTAATGTACTCAGGTGAATATGATGCTTGTGATGTTACTCTGAGTGTATATCCACACCGGGAAAGCTTGAAAAATATGCCTGACCACGGTGGGAATCGAATCAGAAGTAACAGGAATCAGAGTAACATCACAAGCATCACATTCACCTGAGTACATTACACCAACACAAAAAAATCATGATTGTTAGATTACATTGATATCGAAGGAACTAGATTCTGTTCCGAAATATCACATACTTGAACCGACCAGACCGCATAGCTCAGTTGGCAGAGCATTGGGCTAGTATTCCAAAGGTCGTAGGTTCGATTCCGACCGTGGTCAGGCATATTTTTTCAAGCTTGCCCGATGTGGATATACACTCAGAGTAACATCACAAGCATCAATGATTCTCTTGTTATACATATTTTAAAAGGGGTCTTTTTCAAATTGATTTAAAATAGGAATACGAATTAAACAATTGGTGACAAAAACACTTTGGACAAAAGAGCAAAAGAGTGCATGTGTACAACATAATCGACCCCCCACACCCCCGGTTCAAGTGTGTGGAAATACCTGTGTAAAATGTTCCTTGTCAGCAACCCAACATTGTTTAGGGTGGGGGAAAGAGGGATAGTGTTTTATGCTGAACAGTATTTGGAAATACAGAGATACATATATATAACAACCAGAGCCATGGTCAACAGAGGAGAGGAAAGCATTAGTAGAATATTTACACTGGAAGTAAGAGAAGATCAGGTACTTATTTTTTATTAAATTATATTCTATACCACATGCTTCAGTGGAATTTTTTTATGTAGCTCAGAGGTCAGTGTGCACAACACAGTTGCTGAAGTTACCAGGCATACCAAACTCAAAACCAACCAAACCTGTTTATGGGATAATAGTATATTGCACTGGATCATGTTCTAACACCATTCCCCATGACGTTTTGATCAGGCCATGTGAACAGGGAAACTATCTGAAGAGTATGCCTTATATTGCAACTTAATTGCTTTCTTGTAATGTAAACACCTTTTGTGGTATGAAACTATTTCATTAACCCTTTACTGTTTGTATATTGCTTATACTGGAAATATATTCTTAATTTAAATTGACTTGGTTAATTTGTGTTCATTCTTTTCTAAGTAGAGGCTTGTAAGCATCAAGTCGGTTCACATATGAAAACTACATATGCGTCATTGGGAGAAGAAGAGGATGACCTTGGCATTGATTACTTTTCAAAAGGCTTACATTTTGATATCAATCCCTCATCTGATCTTCCAGTTTCGTCACATTCCCCAAATGTCCATGTGAATAACAGACCTGCCAAGTCTCACTATTTAATCGTGAGTCTCACGATTTTCGGAACTTATGAAATCATCGAAGAGCGCAACATCTAGTTACAATAAGGTACAATAAGGCACACGCTTCCAAGGAAACATCACACTTTATTTATAGTGTATTAATAATGCGCAATGTATAACGCCAGAATTTATTTTGTATGTGTGATGTTTGTGTTACAAAGTAAAAGGCGCGTCCTGCTAAGTTTATTGTCCTGCTAGTCTTAATATTACTTGTAGTTTTCTTGTTTTTGTACAGATATTGCGTTATATTTCCAAGGAACTCGTACTGACACTGGAAGCTACTAAAGCCATAAAGAAACAAAACAGCCTATTTTTAATAAGCCTTGCATTTACGGTTATATTAACAAAATATAAATGCATACTATCCTAAGATTGAATATCTATTGATTATTGCTGTTAAAGTTAACCCTGGTCATATTAATGAGCAAACCTGAAAATTTCTATAAAGTCTCACGACTTTTCAGTCAATCGCACAACTTTTTAGATAGCAACTCACTATTTCTGCTACTCAAGGGTTGGCAGGTCAGGTCTGGAATAATGAAAGTCATTGCCATGGTGATGTCATTAACAGCATTGTGACCTTACTGCTGAATATGCCTTGTAAGCTTCGGACAGACCTTATTCAAAGTTTTCTTACTTACTATATGCAGATTGAGTTTGGTTGTGATTACACATCATTTGTCTCATCAGACTTTGTGGAACTGTGTTGCAAAGGATTTAAGGAACTTTTTGTCAGTGGAACAGATAACATTATTTATCGTCTGGCAAAGGAACTTAGTACTAAGAGAACAGATGGTAGTGGGCCAAGACGTCCTATTGATAGGATTGGTCTGTTCAGTTATAACATCTGGTAGTTTTCGTCAGATTCATCGAATAACTTAAAGGCTGATTGTGATTTTATAGAGTGGGAAACCACAATATACTCAAACTTTGGACAAATGGATATGCTTGCAACATGGTCCCGGGTTTGTGCATGGATTAATTTTGTGAAGAACCTCAAGTTCAGGTCAACCCAACTGTTGTTCCATGTAATGCAGATGATGAAGCACATGGTTATGATGTTAACTCGTGTACTGGTACTATTGATCCAAAGGATTGTTTGTTACAGCAAGCATGGAATGATATTTTTAGCAATACTGATAACCGTTTATCACTGTCTGAAAATGAAACTGCTGGTAATCCAGAGAGTTATCTGCAAGCTAGTTCTTCAGCCACTGATGAACTTAGTTTCTTGTGGGGCCGATTAAGTATTCAGGAGCAAGAAGATGTCTCATCTGGAGAAAATCCCTCAGTCACTGAAGACCTTCATGGTGTTACACCACAGCAAAAAACTGGAAGCAAGAAAACAGTTGACCCAATGAAATAAAAAATAAATGTTGCTGGTCATTCGCTAAGAACAATCCAAAGACATATACAGTAATTTTCACTGTTTACCAAAGAGGGTCTTAATTGGGGTCTTTGGGTGTCAGTTGTTAGCTAAAATTTAAGCCAATTGTCAGTTGTCAGTGCGATAGATTGCAAGCTGTCAGTAGTCAGTTACTGCAAAATGCTGACTTATAATTTTTTTCATCATTTCTCAGTAGTCAGTTAGGATATTTTGTCAGTTGTCAGTCAAAAATTCAGGCAAATGTTAGTAGTCAGTTAACCCCATTCAGACCCTCTACCAAGGATTCAAATATTCAGGTGAGTCAATGCACAATAACACTTTTCCAGTCAATCACACATCTAATCTTGATGTGGCAGAGTTGACAACAAGAGTAAGCTAGTATGTCTTACATACAATATGATACAATGTAGGTGTTTTTATATTCCGATTTACTAAACCAGACAGTTTGCTACCGACTCTTGTCCTAAATGTGGGATTCTTTATTTTGTGCACTTAAATTTCAAAATTAAATCTGTTATCAATCATACATGGATTTTGTTTGTGTTTTTAAAATATAGTCTGATTACAGGATATTTAATTAGTATGAATTGAGTTGTCCTATTTATGCCAAATCATGCAACAGTTGATTTTATAATTACTCATGATTTTGCCATTAATAACAATCCTATTCATTCTTTTTGTATATAGGTAATAGCATGGTTTCAAGCACAATTTGGAAAACCAGACTTAAACCAAAACCAGACTTTTCAAAAACTGTCATGACCATCACTTCATTATACAGGGGCCTGATCTGCAGTGAGCATGATTTTGGCGGGCACAGATTGAGGGCCTGCAAGAAAGCCCACCTTTCATGACTACACACCGCAATCACAACCTAATTAATGGCTTTCTAAAATTGACCAATAAAAATTCAGCTTCAATTGGGGAAAACCCTGGCCCGAAAGAAATATATTTGCTTGCACGTAAACATGTCAATCAAACAATGTTATGAATTAAACTGTCAATGACACTCCCAACGATTTAATACAGTCTTGCAGATTTTGTAAATGTTGTTTTAAACAGCAATATTTAGTCAAATTGTCCATGTTTCGTCACAAAACCCGTTTAAACCATCACAAAGGAAACAATTTTTCGGAATTGTTTTCTCAGATTATATGTGAGAAAGCTTGTAATGGAATTAAAATCTTCAGTTAATATATTACAAAGATGAGGACTTTGAACAGCAATTACACGGTGGGCATAAAAGACAGCGAATTTGGCCAAGTACATATAACTTTATCTCGTTAGTTTGGAATATCACGAATCTCCCTTACAGGATAGAACTTAACATTTCTAAAAATCGTATGTTTTTTGTTTTTCAATTTTGTTACATTTTGGCGGGAAAATGACGTGCCAACTTTGGCGCCAAAAAATAAACACGAGCTAAGAACATGCTAGTAACTTTTTCGAAAAGATTGTCCTATAAGGATCTCAAAATTGTAAAAACATTAAAAATACAAGGCAGTGCGAAGATATGGCGATTCAAAGTTCGAAAAAAATCTATTTTTAGTAACAAAATGGCTGATTTTTCAGTAAAAATAGAAATTTGAATCGCCATATCTTCGCACTGCCTTGTTGTATTTTTAATGATTTTACAGTTTTGATCCTTATAGGACAATCTTTTCGAAAAAATTACGAGCATGTTCTTAGCTCGTGTTTAATTTTTTGGCGCCAAAGTTAGCACGTCATTTTCCCGCCAAAATGTAACAAAATCGAAAAACAAAAAACATACGATTTTTAGGAATGGTAAGTTCTATACTGTGAGGGAGTTTCGTGACATTCCAAACTAACGAGAGAAAGTTATATGTACTTGGCCAAATTCGCTGTCTTTTATGCCCACCGTGATTACAACTTGCGGTTTATAAGCTAGAGGACAGTCAACAAAAAATTCCAATCATACAGTAAAACTGACTCAGTTCTAAAGGGAACATGTGCAGATGAAACCACTTATAATTTAAGTGACGAACGCCCTTCACACGTTTCAAACTGTTGAAGTTAAACTTTATACTTTTATATAGTACATCATCATAATCAGTATTTACATCTATGCACGTTTATAATTGCTTGCAGTATCCTGTGCTATTTCCTGATGACTGGCCAGTGAGATCATCTTTTGTATCCCTGCTGAACAAGAAAAAATAGTTCAAGATTAGAAAGCGCAGTTGATAAGCAACAATATTGAAATCAACAAATACTATGGTTTTCCACAGTCTTGGTAATGACCAATCAGGTGATCATATTCACTGTTCGTGTAGTCATGAAAGGTGGGCTTTCCTGCAGGCCCTCAATCCTCCCCAAAACAATTCCTTAACACTCCCTTCATAACTTGTTTATTAAATGTTGAATTTTGGGCATGACAACTTTCTGTTTTGTAAAGCTGATGGCTTACATAACGAAATAAACAGTTAGCATAGCCATTTCATCTCATTATCTATTGTTTTTAATGTGTTCGGCATGTGAGTAGCGTGACGTTTGAAACAAGCCTAACACATCGGTAATGTTGTGCCTCGTGGAAGTGATACAATATATTTATTTATTTATTGTGATGCTACATGCGACAACTCGAAATTTAAATTGTTTCACCGACAACCAAATTTTGTATACAGGTATTTCAATTAAGGTTGTCCACAAGCAAAGCCGAATACGAGCGCGAAAGGCTGCTGGGAACCGCTTTGAAAATTAATTAATTTGTTAGCAATTCCCAGCAGCCTTTTGCGCTCGTATTCGACTTCTCCGCTTTGCTCGTGGACAACATTAATTGAAATAGCTGTATTCTAAATTAAAACGACATTTGCATTGGGAGCTGTCACTAAAACTATCCCCATAAGGCTACTGATATACTAAACTGATATACTAAACTTATTTAAAACTATGATTATTCTCATCATCCTTTTAGCGCCCATATTGCACATTTGACTATTGTCTCGGTGATCTCTTTAATTGAAATAGCTGTATAACTAGTTACTACAATGTTAATCCATTACAAAAAAAAGGAACATATAAAAATAAGGTGAAAAATTTATAAAACCCTTTCTCCAGTCATTGTCGCTTGCATAAAATACAAAGCCATGTCACGTGTGCTGAGAAAATTGATGCTGTGTGTGCAACATAGCTGAAATGGCAGATGTCCATTTAAATAGGCTCATGTTTTGGTCAACCTCGCAAGCCAGGGTCTTTTACCTGCGCTCGGGCTCCAGCGAAGACCCTGCTTCCCTCTGGTCACGTGAACCCCCAGATTTTAGGGGTAATTCGAATTGCCGCCTCCATAGGCACTCAGGGAGGGGTGGTACCGGAAAATGTGTCAGAAAAGTAATATCAGGTATTAATATTCAGTAAACTATTACATGTAAATACAATGCGAAATCAAGAATATAGTAATACCAATATGCGAACCATGAATATTTTTATTAAACAAAACACATATGATAATAAATGTTGTTTTATTTTTCTTAATGCATATCCATCGATTTCAAGGTGTTTTCATTCTTCGGCTTTAGCTTTTATTCTTTACACAGTAAAATGTGCCGCGGTGTGATGCTTTTTGCACCTTGACATGTCATAATCTTTCTACGTTGGAGGTATTTTGCGCCTTACAAAAGTCGGTTTGCAACCATCACACAATAACAATTGCAAGTTCTCTCCAAAGATGGCAAAGCGAAAAGAAACTCCGAAAAAAATTTATCCAAAATCTATTGTGGGTTCAGAATGTATGTGTCGTCTTTGCGGTAGTTTTGAAGACAAAAAGTACTGCAAAAATTTATTCATAAAACGAAATGAAAATTTGCTGCACATCGCAGAAATAATAAACGGCGGATCTCTAGCATTCGAGACTGGTTTGCCAAACCTTTTGTGCCGACCCTGCGAAAGAAGGCTGAACAATTTAGCCAAATTCAAGAAAGTTATAACCGAAACGCAGGATTCTCTGGTTCGAAAAAAGAGATGCACGCCGGACGAGTCACCTTCTGCACGGAAAAGCCGTACTAAAAGCTTACGAGAAGTCGAGCCTGATAGAATTGTTTCGCGGCGTCGTGGTTTGTCTTTTGTATCGACTGATTCGCCGATGGCGATGGAATTGAACCCTGATTCTGCAATTCAGGTTTGTTTAATACTCACTAGTAAAATTATCGACTGTTAAAATATGATTGCTACATAAAGAAGGGAAAAATATTCATCAACTACTACAATGACAATGTTAAGTGCATTTTGAACTTAAAGTTTACTGTAGTCTGTAACCTTTCTCCTAGCTGTGGTAGTACATAGTTACTTCATATTGTTCATAGTTCATGCGATAAGTTGGTACTTTTCTGATTTGTTACAGACTATCCTTCCTTCAACCGCAGCAACTGAGACAACTCCCTTGTCTAGCAGTTTGGACGACTTGCCTCTTCGTAAAGTTCTCCAAAAGATCAGTGATGAATTGCGCGAAGTGGCTCGAAGGGAAACTAATTCAAAGCTTCGAGATAGAAATTTTGATGGGCTTAATACTTTCTTGCCGGACGAGTTGAGGACGATGTGCCCACTCAGTTACAAAATCCTGTCAGAAATGTTGGAATTGGATTGCTATAGCGAACAGAAGATTGCTCCTTTAACGTTAATCTACGGAATCATTATGTTCAAGAGATGTCGCGAATTGAGCTATTTCCAGCGTTTAAACAGTTTGATTCTTGCAGACAGTAGTGCGAATACCGAGGTAAAATAATAGCTAGTTTATAATTTTCTGTAGTAATTTTTCTGTACAAAAATTATACAATGCAATTATATGTTTCGGACTAGTTTTGGCAAAGTAAGAATATCTCAAATTTTGAGCTTTTTAAGTGCCGTTTATTATATAGTACTAAGTAATTAAACTCTGTTTTCCGATTGATTTGCTAAGGTTTTACTACAGTACTAGTAGTTATATCACAGTTGTTATATTAGGGTGAAAAAACTGATCATGCCGTGTATGTTAACAAGACCATGCAAAAAATGGGTTTGGTCTACTACGTATGGCTTCTTGTGTGGCTTTTTATTGCCGCTTCCGATGATTATAACTATAACTTAATTTTGTTTATTTAGTGGCTGTTGCAAATTTGTTAATTTGTTTAATTTAATTGCTACACATCATACCGCATTTATCCTGTTATGACTTTTTTGACATTTTACTCGCAAGTAGCTCTCATTTGTGTTTTTCTTTTCTTATTTTGTATATTTTTTCTGCATGTGTAAGCCGGTCATGAAACTGTTATATTGTTTGAATTTCCCTACGACAGACATTTTCAAACTGTTTAGCTAAAAAAAATCCCGTGTAGTCCATAGATGAACGAACTGATGAACGAATTTCTCAACTTGCAAAACGAGTTTTTCTCTTCAACACTTGTAACATTTAACAAAATACATATCTATATATATATTGAATTATTTTGCATGGTATTTATAAAATTACAATACATTGTTTTTGAAGGTTTACGAGAGATTCAACAAGTATGGTTTTTGTCTGACAAAGAACAAGAAATATAAAATTCAGGACGATATTGGCATGCATTTCCTGGATAAAGTGGCTGAAGAAGTGAAGGCAGGAAAAACGTTTTCTTTTGTACTTGACAATATTGACTGGGAAGAAAGGGTACATGAAATGCGATCAGATAACCAGAACAAGAGTGTGCATGCTGTTGCAACTTCTCTGGTATTTGATCGTGTTTCATCAAGCCACTTAGAGGATGAAGAGCCCCAGCAATCATTAGCTGAGACTGACATAGTCAACCTGGTTGAATTGGAAGAAACTGAACTTGTTGAGCAATTCAATTCTTACAAGAAGATAGCTGCAGAGATTTTGTATGAGCAAATACCAGCATTCAGCTTTCTGAAGAACTGTAACATTGATTTGTCTTCCGAGTATGAAGCAGAAATGAAATCAAAGTCAGTTGTTGTGCCATTCCCAGTACTCCTAAAGGACGAAAAGAAATATTCTGAAATTGTTGATGTTATGGTTCAACTGGAGACTTGGATCCATGAGATTTACATGAAAGCTGGCAAAATTCCAGATATCAGAAGTGAGAGTGTTGACACCAGCTCCCCTGACCCTGTAACTTCTCCTTCAATACCATCTACAGCAGCTTCGAGACCTGATCAACCACTATCCCACGTTCACCCTGCAACTGATCCTACTGACCCGTTGGCAAATACCAGAGTTCCCTGCTATGGTGACCAACTCAGTAGAGTGCGTCTCGCTGGAGCAAAAGACTTGAGGGCAGGATGTCATACAGCTAGGGATCGACTTGACCATATCCACCCAATCAAAGTTGCTGATTGGCATTGCAAAAGAAGTTTCTTGAAGGTAATAGCAATAAAATAATTTCTTTATTTAGTAAGCTGTTTATTTTCAATGAAATTACTTTAAAAATAAACAAAAATTATGAATGAAACTTTATGTGTGTGTTTTATTATGCTGCATGTATTGCATAATAATTTGATGTACCTTTCAATAGACAGAATGTTTTATTTTTGCCTAATGTCCCCCCATAAAATGCATGCAACTGATTAGCTGCATGATTGATAAATTTCCTTATCAAGAAATAGACCTTATGCATGACGTCACAAGGCTTGATGTCCGCAAGGAATACTGGTCTTAGTAGTCATTGCCTGGGAAAATTTCTGTAGTCGCCATTTTGAATTGTTTGATTTTCCCGGGCGATGACTACTAAGACCAGCATTCCTCGCGGGCATCAAGCCTTGTGACGTCATTATGCATAAGGTCTATTGGGTGTGGGGGGGGGGGAAGAGTTTTTCTACCATACAAAATAAAAATTTTATTATTTTGTATATAGTAGAAAAATTCTTCTCCCCCCTTTATTGATTATACAACATTTGACAAAAAAATATTTGTTCAATGAAAATACATGGACTGGTTTAAGTTAATTTATTTGGTGTATTAATTAAAGTGGAAGTCAAGTCCATTCTGCACATTGGTTCTGCTCATAACAATGTGAGGACCCTCTAATGTAAACATTGCCTAAATTTCATGTTTCGAATTTTTCTGAACATAAACTCTAATTTCATATTCATTTAGAAGCATAGCGAACCAAAATAGTGTTAGATATTCAGACAGTACATCATATTTTAAAAAATACATCAGTTCAAAATGTAAACAAATCGTTTGTTTACATTACGGGCTTAACTTCCACTTTAAGTATATTACACTCTGGAGTAGTTGCTAATATTCGACTTGTAATGTTTATACTGTATGTAATGTCTAATATATATTAATTATTATTGTAGCTTGTATTCAAGATGCTTTACAAAAATTCTGGGAGAGCTAAAGGAACACTGAGGTTTTTCAGGGAAAAACTTCAACGGCGGAATGTCACTCAAGACATCAAACACTATGAAGAATGCGAACAATTATTCATAAGTGTTGGCAAGTCCTATACCCTTGCAGCATTACTCCACTTTTTTGGCATGTCTGACGTTGATGACAGTCCACAAAATAATGTCCCACCTCATGATGCAGATTACCAGCAGTACTTTGACACAGTGTTGGATAAGTTTGTAAATGAGTACTTGCTGTCCAAACCACATTCCCAGTCCAATCAAACATTAGATGAACAACCCGACCAAATCAAGGAGTATTCACTGTGTCTTCTTAGGTTATTTTTCATTTTAAAAAGCCTGAAAGATGCAGTCAAGTTGGGTGATGGGGATCGGCTGGCAACCATCCGCAAGATATTGTTGAAGCATTTTAAGAGTCACAGTGGTCATAACACTTATGCAATTGAGATGTTGATAAGCATCTTGCAGGATAAGGTGTTTCTCACCAAGAGACAGGCCCATCAAACTAGGTGGGCCTCTTTAGTCAACTCGAGGGGTGGTTCCGGGAACAATATAGAAATCGATCTTATGCAAGAAAACTTAAACAGGGAGCTGAAAAAAGGTATAAGAGCAATGGGAGCAAACAAAACACCAAAGGCAATTGAACGATTCAGCAAAGCAGCATGGGGGGCAGCAGAAATTATAAGAAACTTTGATGTGGCAATGAAAATTAAGAAACCAGCATCATCCCACAAGCATAAATCATCCGAGAAGGATGAAAATATTATCCTGGCAGATCTCCTGCAGTTGAAACCATTTGAAAGCATTGATGGTCGTTTTCACGAAGGTTTCCCATCTGCATCGTCAGACACATTGGCTGCCCTGAATGAGAAGGCATTTCATGACTGGCTAAAGAAACACAAAAAAAATATCATCAAGCATGGACCAATTGAAATGGATGATGATGATGATTCTGATGATGATCAGTGACTTAGTAAGCATATAAATTGTACAATTGTGACAATTGTGTAAGTTAACTGGATCTAATTACTATTGACCACTAAGTGGCAGCATTTACCTCGATTAAATTGCCACTTATGGGTAAATTTATATGTTATTTCAAGTACTCGTACTTTCAACATAATTTTGTAATGGCTGAATCCTGTTGTTTTAGTTAGCAGCAAATGCAAACACAGCGCTTCCAAAATATAGGGAATGATTATTTTCTTGTTTTCAGGTGCCTGCTAATAATTGGCATTTTTATTATCATGATCATATAAACTTTATCAATGTGTATTTGCATGTAAACATATATGTGGGTGACTTGCTTGAAGTACCAAAACAACAAAAAACAGGGCACAGCTTTTATCTTTAGTTGTATCTTTTTAAGGATCAAATGGACGACACAGAATAACATGGGTATTGTCTATTGATAATAAAACATATTTTTACGTTTGTGTATGGCAATAGCAATCGCTATTTAAAGGTAGGGTACAGTCCCTATGTAAACAAAGCCTTTGTTTACATTTCCTTTGTTTACAAAGCCTTTGTTTACATATTGAACTTTAGCTTCTACAGTATAATAAATGATCAAGATATAACAATCAGGCTTTGCAAGAACATAAAATGAAATAAAAACCTAATTAAAGTGTTTATATCATGGCAGGAGACTCCTATGCGTGCATGTGCAGACCGAAATGTACCCTATCTTTAAAAATATTCACTTAACAATATGTGGTAATGGTAATTTGTGGCAGGGCATCATGCCTGCACTCAGTACATGTACAAATGTTTTTGCAAATGCTACAACACAAATGTCCAGGGAAAAGTGACACAGCATTCTCAATGTCCAGACATTCCAAAAGTGAAATTCTTAGGCACTTATCCTTTATTTTGCAATACATCCGTACTTCTTCCTGAAGGCCAGGCTTGTTCTTAGCAATGTCTTTGTTATTATAATAAAGAATAGCTTTTGAAGGTTCTCCATCCCGACCTGCTCTTCCAGTTTCTTGGAAGTACTCGCGTATTGTCCTGGGTGGTCCAATATGAATAACTTGCCTTATTGCACGGATATCTACACCCATTCCAAAAGCAACTGTAGCTAAAATTACCCTTATATTTGATGTTTTTGATGACAGTTGGGCAAGGATTTCGTCTTTCATTCTGGTTGTCTGAGGGGCATGAAATTGCGCAAATAATCTGTTTTTTGGTAATGCCAAAGTGTCATGTGGATAATACTGGTTTTTTCCAAGGATCATCTCAAACAGTCTGTAAATGAATCCACACCATCTCAGGGGCATGTAAATTATTGTCAAAGGATAATCAACCTTCATATGTAATAAACCAGTGGCAATTGGTTTGCAAATTTTCTCAAAGGCATCAATATCTTGCCCAAGCCTGAACACCTTTTCATAATAAATATTCTTGCGGTCAGGGTTTCCTATCAATTCAAAACATTTCTGCAAAGCAAGTGACTCCTTTATGAGCTCCCTATCAAGCTTGTTTGCTGTAGCAGTCATAGCAATTACAGGTACATTAGGAAATGTTGCACACAGCATACCAAGTTTTGCATAATCCTGTCTGAAATCATCACCCCTAAAGTAAGACATATTTGGCATAAGAAATTGTTATAAAAAATGCTTAAACAAAGTCATTGGCCGATCACATTATTAATCTGCACCCCCCATTGAGGACATGTGGAATTTCCAATGGCCCCCTGAAAAAGTGAACCAAAAATGAAGGAATTTACATGGGAGGGTCCAAATTTTAAATCAAATCTGCAAAAATTCTAAAGGGTAGGTAAGAAAAATGAGTAAAACGTATGGAATTTCCATGGGAGGGTCAACAATGGAAAAGAAATTCCAAAGGATAGGATAAAAATCAGCAAGGAATTTTCCAAGGGATAGCTACTAATCAAAGAATCAATACGGAATTTACACTGGCTAGATCAAAAACGGTCAAGGAATTTGCATGGGATGGGTTAAAAGTTCATAAAAAATTTGCGGGTTCTATCAGAGTTTCTCTTGAGTGTCAATGCTGTTTTTGAATAGCTGGAGGGTGAGTAGTCGCATAGTAAGGTATGACACTAACCCTATAGTTATTTAAAAACAGCTTTGACACACAATAGCTCAGATTGAACCTCCACTCATTGAGTGTGAGTGAGCTTTTGGAATACGGGCGTTACTCATGTTATGTGCTTTAATAGTAGGCACACTAAGCACAGAACACGAGTATTTGTAATTACTTTGTTATCGAGCCTATTAAGAACAGCAAGAAACAAATTCGTCCAGGAAAACATGGTAATATAATCTTTATCTGCCCCTGACATGCTAAATTTTTTAAATAGAAATACCATTTTGTACTTGATTTTGAACAGCTTTATTAACATTTGTAAATACATGATGGCAAATGCAGTAAATTTACCTAGATTTGATACAGTCTGACATGCAGAAGCACGCCGCTTAATTACATGCAGTATTATAATGGGCAACATAACTGCAAGTAATTTGTAATAAATAAACAAAAATATCATACTTTACCATTCAAGAATGCAGTGGGCTTCATCGATTACCAGAGCACACACGTTTTGTTGATATACAACACTGTGCACTAATCCTCGTCCGAACTTGGACATGAACGCTTCTGGATGGGCAAACAACAAGTTATAGTATCCATTAACAAGTTTTTGCTTCTTATCGAGTTCTGTAACGTCGCAGTCAACATCTTCGTTCTCTTCAGACAATGCAGTCGGGAAAATATTTAGTGTAGATACCCGAAGTCCAGTCGCTGATAGCTTTTGAACTTGGTCGCTTATCAAGGAGTTAAGGGGCGAAATAACGAGAAGCACAGAGGTCACGTCATTCAAACAAACTGGGGGCAAAGTTGGATCACTGGTTGGGTTTACTTCTAACATTTTTCTTGCGAACAGCATCAGAGGCAACAGGTGATAAATTAATGACTTGCCATAACCAGTCGGAAGAACTGCCAGTACGTCCACTCCTAAGAACAGCTTTTATAAAATAACATGTATATAACGCGTATTCTGATTGGTCGAAAGCCGTGTTTGGATCAGGCCATCCAAACACGGAAGACTACCAGACTACCGTGCTGTTGTTATTTTATAAAACAATTACTTTATGGTTTCCGTGTTTGGATGGACTGATCCAAACACTTGAGAATGTTGCTCGAGTTAAGAAAAGCGGGCAAAATCACTCGCCTTCGGCTCGTGATTTCGCTCGCTTTTCTTAACTCTCGCAACATTCCCGCGTGTTTGGATCAGGCCATCCAAACACGGAAACCATAAAGTAATTGTATATTCCAAACAAATAGCCTGCTTAGGCTTTAAAACAACATTCGAGTATAAACTATTTACAACGGCGAAATGTAAGCAAGTTAAGAATGCCAGACATTTCGAGTTTTTTTGCATTTTCCAAACTACAGTGTGATACAGTAAATTCACTGCTCCTTGTTTAGTTTTCTGTGTTATATTACATAAACCGGAAGTTATTAATGACAATATATCAGTTATTAATGACAATATACCCCTACTTGGGACCTCAAGCTGTGATTATTTTTAGCCGTTCACGTGACCAGAGGGAACCAGGGTCTTCGCCGGAGCCCGAGCGCAGGTAAAAGACCCTGGCCTGCGAGGTTGCACACTATTCTTGACATGGTATGGTTGCTCCAGAGTCCACTCGACCCAGTCTTTCGCGCGATCTATGTATTGTCGAGATCTCGATTTTGTGTCTGTCGGAACCTTAGAGTTCACTCAGAGAATCGAACCGAAAACGGTCACATGACTGTTCTGACTGCCCCTACTCAAAAGTAGGGGTAGCTCAGTGAACTAAAAATACCTGGAACGCTACCTCCAATAGGTTTGGCTTATGATCGGATGAAGCCAAATTTTACCTCCAGCCGCGCGTGTTCTACCTCCAGACACGCGCGTTTGTGTTGCGAGACATTCTCGCGAGACCATTTCGGCAGTGACTTGAATTTTTTCTTGGGCGAATGGGTCGAAAATTGTCGTTTATTTAGGGTTTTAAGCTATATTTTTGTATTAGAAGTGCATTTAAAACATATCTTGAACCCTACCGACTAAAATTGCAAGGACGAAAGTAACCGATTGGAGACAACAAGTGCATATTTGAATGACTGGAACGTTTATATGCAGATGACACTTGAGAAAGATAAGTAATTCTTTATCTTATAAACGTATTAAATATGTATTTATAAAATGGAAAAATGTGCCAAAGGGTTGAAATTGCCCTTGTAAATGTACACTATTTTTGACATGCTTGGGTTAGTATTTTGAAAAGGTGTTCTGGAAGGAAAATATGTCTTGAACAATACTAGTTGACCCTTAAATTATAACTAGTGTTATGTAAATCACAGAAAATTGAAAAAAATCTGGTCCATACACAATATTTTGGACCCTATGAGATCCCGAATGGGGCTTATTTCAATGTTGAACCTGTTTACCTGGAAAAACTTAGAAAATTGAATAAGTCAAGAATTTGACTATGCTCATCACCCAAAACCAGGTTTTTCTAATTACTTTTTCTCCTGGGTTTGTGGCAATGCCAGTTATGCGACCACGAAAAATGCGCGCGGCACTTTTTTTGGACACTGAAGATGGTAACATTTGATGTTGTCATATATTGCCATCCTCTTTATCGTAGCATAACTTAACTTATTTTAGTGAATTTGTTAAAGCGTTGTGTTCACTATATGCTTGTAGTATCTAAGATTTTTTCATAGCATTATATGATAAATTTAAGTTCTGTTTTGTTTTATTTTTAGGTGATAGTATCTGTTCATTCCAGTGTTGGTATCAAATTTTGGACAAGTTTCAATTATTATTTCACATTCCTTTATTCAAATATCCAAATAAATGGAATATGACATCAAGCTGGAGGACTAGATCCTGTTTTCAAACTTGTTTTTTGTAAAAATAGAAAATAACAACTTATTCTGTGTTGTTCTAATAAAAACCATTGTTTTTGATATGCATATATTTTAATTTTATTCTTTGTTAAAATGTGCACCTGAAATACTGAAATCTTTCAGATCAGCTAACAATACCTTTATAACTTATATAGCCAAGTGTTCTATCTATTTTTGTTCAGATTAAACAAATAATGGGTAAAATATTAGATAAGATTTTTTCAAAAAATATGAGCTTGCCTGTTTTCAAAGCATAAAAAGCAATAAAATAAAGCAAAAGTACTTATTTTTTTATTTAAAACCTTTGGAATGCACAGCTTAATGTTTTCCACGAAATATTACAAAGTTTCCGTTCATTAAAATGTTGTTTTATCAGCTTTAAAACCAGATAAATCCTCGAAACACTCCTGATATATGTCGCCATATTGATTTTCTGCGCGCATGCGCAGACAAATTGCCTACCTGTTGTCTGTCGGGATTTCGGATTTCCGGGGCAGTAATTAAAGCTTCAGGGGCCGGTTGTATAAAAAAGTGATTAAAGTTTTAAAATTATAGTTAGTGGAAACGTCATCCAATAAGAAGCGCGTATTTGAGAGTTAATCACTATTTAACTACAAAATAGTGATTAAAAAAGTGGTTAAGAGTTTTATACAACCGGCCCCAGGACGTTTTTTTATACGAGGGGGCGGTCAAACTTTATTTTGTATACAGAGGCGGAACTCGAGGCAAATCATGTCCCCACTTTTTTAATGCGCATGCGCGACCCTCTGGCAAGTGTCATGCTCATTTTTTATCAGGAAATAGATAGGAAAATGCAAAATTTTGGCAATAAAACGGCGATTTTAAGCGCAGTAACCGATCAATCTTCTTCTGCAAATAAATGGCACACTGCGTCTTCTTAGCAAAAGGGAATTGAACGAATATCATTTTTAACGGCGAAAATGAGAAAAGACACCCGAAGGAGTGAGAATTTCTGGCAATCTGAAGATTCGATTCTGTAGACCTGAACTCCAGCTGGAAGTTGGCAACTTTATATGTGAGTTTTTTTTCTCTAGCTCATATATATCAAATTATCAATATATTTTTGTCAAGTGCAATGTTGTATCAAAGGGTTGTCGTTAATTTAAACATTGCATAAACAGCATTCAGATACGAAAATGAACATCAACATTCAACATGGACTGATGGAGTCAAGGACATGGAGCCACAGTACTCTAAAGTACTCAAATAGACTTTATTTAACTTATATGTTAACCCAGTGGTGGAGGATTGGTCAAATTATACTTTATAGTGATTCCCCTAGATTAGTGCATTGGCTATTGTGCAATAACAACCTTTTTTTGGCTCTCAAAAGTCAATTTCTCAGACATGCCAAGTCACTGTACATATGTTTATTGTAATAATCTAATCTGTTTATTTATTTTGTTTATTTTGCTTTTCTAGATTGCCAATCATTCCTGTTGAACTACATTATTCATTACAATGAATCAGATGCAGAATCTTACAACTATGGTTAATTTGTTCAAATCTGTTCACCTGATTGGAAAAACCTGAGACTATTTGATCTTATTGGAATGCCTACCAATTTTACATAGCCTCGGGCAATGTTTATATAATTAATCTCGAGTAATAGAGATGCTGTACCCCCTGAGGGAGTAACCCTACTACCTGGATTATCCCACTAGACAAGACAAGTTCAAAACTTTCCATGCAAACACTTGCATGGCAGTTGCTATAATAGGATATGAATATAATTTTGCCTTGCCACCTGGAGACCATATAAACAGGCCTTATGAGGGCCACAAGTTCATCCGTACTTCATACTATGAAGTGTCACCCTCTTTAAATAAAGTCTATCTATCTATCTATCTATCTATACCTTCAGATTACTGTAATAGTTTAATTGAGGGTTCAAATAAGCAGCCCCCCCCCCATGCAACTAAAAGTGGTGGGCCTGCTCCCCAAATCCAGCCCCCCTTGGAAGATGTACTGTAAAGCTAGACAATTTTACTTGTTAACCCATTGAGTCACATTGCACCCTACTTTACTATTTTACTGTCTAACACCAGACAATCCAGTTAACCCATTGAGTTGCATTGTGCCCTGATGCACCCTACTTTATTATTTTACTCTGTCTAACGCCAGATTATTTTACTCTGTCTAATGCCAGATGATTTTACTTGTCAAGGGGAGAGCACACTTTAACAGGGAAAGGATTAATTGGGAATACTTTCTCTTTTAATGGAAACTCTTTATTAATGCAATGCAATTATTCATATTTAGTATTAATTTTCATGACAACATGTGGGGTCAACTATAAAGAAAACAGTTATTGCCTATTTTGGAGTGAGTTATTAGACATTATTTGAACACATATTTATTTAGTTTTTGAATAATTTAAGTTCTTATAATGTATATAATGTGAAATAAATAATTCAATTGGCAACTGTGCTGAAGATTCTGATGCCTACTTGATTACATTTCACTCTAGCCAATCTAATTTATCTGCAGGAAATGATCAGACAAGCCCACCACTAATCCAAGCAGTCGACGATACCGACTACAAAACAAATGAAATTGAACAAAACTTAGTCTGCATGAATGCATTAACTTATGTGTCAAGCTATTTATGAAGGAAGTGCCTTATCCAACATTATGCCAATTATGCCATCATAATTTTGTGACAAAGGATGTCAATGACAGTCTGCTATTCTGCATGTTCAAGACCTCTGACCTTTGAAGGCATAAGTAGTACAGGCGGATTAACAATCCGTAAAGAAATGTTTCTTTGCTGGAGAATACATTTGTGAATGTGCTCAACAGTTGCACAGAAAGTATTAAAAACGTAGGTAGTTTAACTTTTAATTTTTGCTCACAAATCCCAAAGCTACATGGAACCTTATGGAAGTGTGCAATGGAAGTGTTTCAAATCAGCACTCATGCTTTCTTATTAATGTAAAAGACAGGAAAGCAATACGTTTGGCCATTAATTTAGCGAAATGGGAATCTGCTTCTTGGCAGAACATGACAAGCACCGAGATTGTAAAATATGGCCATGCAGTACAAAGTTTATACTGTTTTTTTTCTTTGTATTTAGCCTATAAACATATATCTTTTTACATAAAAATAACCACTTACCATTTATCTTTCAAATTTGAGATCCAAAATGAAGATCGGTGGAGCAACTTCGCAAAAATATTTATTTTTCTACTTTCGAACGGTGTTTTTCCTATGCTTTTGACTGAAAACACGACGAATGACACTTGCCAGAGCAATTTGCGTGGCGCGTGGAAATGACGTTGCATGGGGACACAAAGAACAAAGGAATCGCCGCGAGTTCCGCCTCTGCTCTGTGATTCAGTTAATAATACGAGCAATACGACAAAATTTACAAGCAGTTTGTTGGATTTTCACGAACAAATCAAGTAAGGATGGCTTATATCTTCCCGGATATCTTTCAGATGATGTACAAGAAAGCATTTTGTATATTTATAATACATATGCTGTTTTGATATTAATTGTAGTATACTATAATATAGTATTGAAACAATATGAATTCATAAACTTATATATGGTCATTTTATCTTCGGTTGTCTTGATCTATTCGTCAGTAATGTCCTGTTTATACAATGAGTCAAAATTCATTTTAGTTTATTTGTTTGTGTGGCGATGTGCCAAGGCCAATGCGATGACAGGACCACATCAGCAATTTGCTGCTCATTTTTAAATCGTGTTTAAAAAATGACAATGTTTTTTATTGATGAGTTTATAGTGTTCATTCTATATGTATGCAAGTCTTTAATAATAATCAGGCTTAATATAAAGATTCCATAGTGTCCCAGTGTGGATTGTTGACTTTGTGTACTTGTGTGCACATATTATGCGCGAATCAAATCGAAACCTTGACATCCCCCCCCCCCCGGGCATACCCCCGGGAATTTGGATTTTGACGTTTTGGTCAGGTCAAATTCCCTACATATATTTGTAATTCCCGTTCAAATACACCACGTATTGGGA